CCGATGGTTGCAGTTGCGATTATCTTATTTTAGGAATCAACTATACCTAGTCATCTCAATATCAGTGGGGCGGCATCGTTACCAGCTTTTTGCTGGAACGGAGCCGATGTCAAGTTATACGTCGATAACTGAACCGATTTGTTAATTTGAAAGAGTAATGGGCTCAATATCGGGCATAGCGGTAAACATCTGGATTTCTGCCGTGACTCGCCGCATTAATGGTGGTGAATGGTGGTATCTAGTAGGGATTACGCCTCCGCCATGTTACGTTTGCTATTAGAAGTGGTTCATTCGGTCAAAGGTACAACTGGTATAGGGATAGTGCTGAATTGAAAGCGTTACGGCAGAGTGTTCTTTTCACACGCATGTTCTCTCTTATTTGAAGGTTTCCTCTTTCTTGTTCAATTAAAGTAACTTGTGGAAAATTAAGATCTTTAAAGCGTTATGGAAAGTCCAAGGGAGAGTTATTTTTCCAGCATGTGTGCTTATCATTTACAGGTTAGTTATCGTAGAATTAATGGAGTATCAGAAGAAGTACTCTAATCGAGATAGCTATGGTAAGATTTTCACCACATTTTATGCGCAATCTAACAAGTAGATATTTCAGGTTTCTAAAGAAAATATCATTTTTTCATTCCTTCCGTTGATTTTGTTGGGTAACTGTGTCCGTACAGCGTGGCATCCATTCATTGCTTCACCATGGCAAAGACGTTATTCGACATTCTCCAAGGTCAGCCATACACTGAAATGAGTTACTCGCTGTTGCGCAATAAAATACATGAATTGATGGCCGCGTGCCAGTTTTAGCTTGTTTCGCGTAAATTCTTGCTGACTGTAGGCAGAACGAATGGAAGCGCTGAATGAGGCCCGAGAAATGTTTTATTTTGGATATGAAAACTATATGAGTCATGCTTTTCCTGCCGATGAGCTGGACCCTATTCATTGTCGAGGAAGAGGACACGATTATGGCAATCCGTAAGGCTTTATCGATACATACATTTTTGATATTTTGAACTCTTTCTTCAGATCCAATATTAATATCAACGACGTACTAGGTGATTACTCCTTGACATTGATCGACTCACTCGATACTCTCGTCGTCCTAGGTAGTTGTCATTTTCGTTTGCATTCCATTTTTGTTTCCGCAGATTGAGTCTGCTGCAAATCATAAATCATATATGTAGAGAATTGAGCAATGTTTTCGATTTTTTGTTTTGAAGTACTATTGCGAACTCGTTGACCAAGCAAATGCTAAAGCTTGTATGCAAGACGTTATTGTATGTTATGAGCACGTAAGGATTTTTAAAGAAACAACAACAAGAAGAAAGATATTTAGTATAATGATCGACTTAAAATTTGTAGATAAAAACGAGTAGATTCAGTCACATTTGTGACACGCCGTGAAAAAGGAGCGATTTGATATGGCTAGAACTTGTTATCTCGAAGAGCATGCAAAAGACGCTGGATAGTGATCTAACATTACGTGCGTTTCATATGAAACAGCGTTGTGGGAGAATGTGACAAACCTAGATATGAAATTTCAACCACCTTAATGATGTTCAGG